AAAACAGGGCATGCTGTCTGCTGTCTGAAAGCAATGGGACACTGCAACGACTCACCCAGGATCTGCATCACAAATCAGGGCCAGGGGGTTCCACTCCATGTTATACTTCACACTTGTTAATTTTTGTAATACAAAGACATTTCATCGTTTGAAAGATGAAAGCTTCACACAATTTTTTATAAGCATTCTGACATGGATCAGATATACTGGGGCAAATAAACAGTCCCTGAAAGAGAAATTGGGTCCTTTGGGAAAAGGATTAACTCTTTGAATACAGCAGAATAGTAAAATATGAATTATTTCTCTAGAACATTGGAACTATGAAAGAAATGTTTCGTGTAGCACAGATGCCAAATCAAAAAGTCTACAGAAAAAAAGATGATCCTGGCAAAGGACCAATCACATTAATTTATAACTAAAATAATCTCACTTCCCAAAGAAAATCAATATATTATACAGGATTTCAACTTTTCAGAATTTCTTAAATAAGAAATCTATGTTGTTCAAATTAACACAAAGCCTCTAATTTAGATAATTTTCAGGCTGGGATGTGTCTGTGATCAGTAATTCCCTATTAATTAGAGAAAGACAGCGTGGGTGGAAGGTGGAGACTGCAGATGGAAACTCTCATTGACCACATGTGATCAGCTCCGTGAGCACCCACTCAGAAGGACGACGGACACAGCCCAGTACTTCCCTACGACCTCCAAGAAGGAAATCCGGGCTTTTGCAGGAAATGGGAGAGATTCCCAAGGCTCTGGGAAGTGGGATGCTTCAAAGAAGGTTCAAAGATGATAGACAGATCGCAAATCTAATAAAATAACAACGAAAACAGTTAAAGAGTAATAATCATTCCTAGGAGAGAAACACACATACACACACATGCACACGCACACACATCAGTAAGGTTCAAGACCTGGTATATATATCCTAGTGTTGGCATCTTTCTCTTATCTATCCAATTTGTTCATGCAGATGGCGCATCAGTATCACAGGGAACTTCTAAAACACACAGGTTTCTGGGCACCCAATCAGAATAACTAAATTTCACCCTCTTGGAGAAGCAGCGAGGCCCCAGGACAAGTACTTTTCTTAAGCTTCCCAGATGGCCCAGCAAAGCCCTTTCACGTTAGCCTTTGGGAACCACCACATGAGATCTCCTCCCCTTGAGAATCAGACCTCCACTTGTACTTTAGCTTTTCGTTTTCATAAAATTATTTTATTAAAAGAAAACATATACTAATCCGATTTGATGAAGAAATAAAAGACTACTTCCAAACACAGAAAACTTGTAAACATGTAAAATTTGTTTAAAAAAATGGGTATATTTATATGCATAGACGCTCTCTCAGCATCACAGGAAGAACTTGCTAACATTTACGCCTCTTAGGAAGAGAATTAAGTAGCTAAGGGACCGGCGAGGAGGCATACTTTTCACTATGTATTCTTCTATACTTTGTAAATTTTGAGGCATGTTAATGTATCACTTACTAAAAGTTAAAAAAAGAAAATTTAGAATATATCATGAAGATCAAAAACACATGACAATAAAACAACAACTCTGGAGGACATTTTTGGGACAACTGGGGAAATATGAGTACGGACTGTCTATTAGATGAGGGTGGAAAACCGGTGCTCCATTTCCTGAGGGGGAAACTATGTTACAGTTTTGTATGGTTCTTAGAAGATACACCCTGAGCAATAGGAGTGAAGCATCATGATGCTTGCATTTGACTTCCAAACAACTTAGGGAAACAATTATATACAGAGAGAGAGAAAGCAAATGTGGCAAAATTTTAATAATAGTGAATCTAGGTAAAGGATATTTATGTGTTCATTGCACAGGGTTTTTTAGTAACAGCTTTACCGGTATTTAATTCACAAACATAAAATACACCCTTTTAAAGTATAAAATTCAATGGTTTTAGCATATTCAGAGTTGTGCAGCCATCACCACCATCTAATTTTAGAACAATCATATGACTCCCCAGAAGAAACCCTATGCCCTTTAGCAGTCACCCCTCATTCTCCCTCCCCTCCCAACCCTTGAGAACCATTTTCTGTATCCATAAATTTGTAATCTACTTTCTGTGTCTATGACTTTGCCTATTCTGGACACTTTGTATAAATGAAATGATACAATATGTGATCTTTTGCGACTGGCTTCTTTCATGCAGCATAATTTTTCAGGGTTCATCCATGTCATAGCATGTATCAATACTTCATTCTTTTTTATTGCTGAATAATATTCCATTGTATGGACATACTGCATTTATTTATGCATCCATCTATCCAGTTGATGGGCATTTCGGTTGTTTCCACCTTTTGGCTATTATCAATAATACTGCTATGAATATTCATGTAAAAGTTTTTATATTGACATATTTTTTCACTTTTCTTGGGTATATACCTAGGAATTGAATTCTTGGTCACATTATAACTCTTATGTTCATTACACTATTCTTAAAATTTTTTATGTAGGATTAAAATTTCAAAATAAAAAACTAGGGGAAAACTACAAAGGAAGAATAAGAATATAATAATATATTAACCAACCTATCTTGTGCTCAGAGAGAATATGCACAAGTTACATGATTTTAAGTAGTACACAACTCTTATTCCTTGCAGGGGAATGTAGTAAGCGCCGATGATGTCTTCGGTCATACTATAACAGAAGACTATTACTTCATAGACTTATCATTTACTTATTTTGACTTGAAAAATGATCAACAGAGACAAATTATTTATCTGGATTGGATAAGAAGCATCCCAATATTTGATACAAGCAATGATGCAGACAGAATATGGGCTCTCGGTTCAAAGGTAAGCTGCAGAACCCTGGGCACACTTAACTTCTCTGAGACACCACAAAAGGAGCATCGTTTACACCTGAATCTCAAATCAGATAACGCATAAGAGGGTCTTGTATACCTCAGTAGGTACTCAACATGTGCCAGTTTCTTTCAAGAGCTGTAATAAACATCCACTCCTCTTCCTGCAAGCTTCACAATCAAAAGCTGCCTTATTGAAAATATGGTGACATTTTAGTTTTGAAATCAAAAAATCGCTTAAGTCTCCTTCTCTATACAGGGGACCCCCAACGTCTTCTCTGCTTCCGGCCTTCCAGCTAAGCTCTAGACCTCCATTTCCAACCGCCTGCTGAGTCTCCACTTGAAGATGTGCCAGCAACTCAAGCTCAGCTTGCCCCCAGTTTTGCTCGGTACCTTCCTTCCAAGCCAGCCCCTGCTGACTCCTCAATCCTGTAAGTCATATCATCACTGGAGGTGCAAGACCGCCAGGTCACCTTTGACAGAAACTTCTCATGACTCCCGCCATCCCGTTGCCAAGATCTGTGGACTCTTCTTGTCATCATCTCCTTTCTCACTGTCCTGCAACCACGAGGCCCTGCTACCACCGATCGGATCACCCATCCATTACAGCCTGCTCACTAACCTCTCCTCCTGTAACCGGTCCCTTTGCTATCCCATCCCACACTCCAGCGCCACAGTAAATGGTCCAAGAGAAAGACAAGAAAACGATAGTCCCCTCTTCAAAACCTTTCATGGTTCCCCACTATTTACCGACTATTCACTTATTCATTCAACAAACATTTACTGAGCACCTACAACGTGCTAGGCTCTGTTCAAGGTGCTGAGGACACAGAAGCTGCCATGGAGCTCACATTCTAGTTGTGAGAAAAGGAAAAACACCCTGAGCAAACAACAGTAATTTCAGACAGCAATACAGGCTGTGAAGAAAATAAGGGTGGGGAAACGGGATGGTGACTGAGGGAGTGAGAGTTCTCGTGGGATAATGAGAGAAGGCTTCTCTGACACTTGGACCAAGCCCTAAATGACGAGTAGACAACTGGGACGAGAGCATTTCAGGGAGACAGAACGGAAGTACCCGAACCCGTAGCCTTTCGGTCTTCTGAAGTCACCTCTCGCCTCAAAGCGCCTGCTTCCTCCCTTCCCACCTTTGCCTTCAAAGTCCTCCCTCCCTGAGAGTCACCTCAGATTCCCCCTCCTCCATCAGGTCTCCTAATCTCCCCACTTTGTCCCCTTCCCCAGCCCCTTAATCACAGGAGAATTGTCCTTCCTTTGGGAATGTTAATTAACATATCTACCTTTCCTTTTTTAGCAAACTATCTGAACTCATAGACCCACAGGAGTGGCGTCCTTCACAGCCACCACTCTCCTTTCAGTGCGTCATACGACCACTGAGCACCCACTGTGTGAAGGCACCATGCCAGCCAGGGACCCCAAAACAAGACGGGGTCATTCGTGTGGACACGTTCACAACGCTTCTCAAACTCTTTAGGTACTGCTTTTGGGGTCAGGCAGGGAGCAATACAACCAGTCTCATCTCTTCCTAAGTAGCAACTTCCTCCAAAGAGAAGTTCTCCAGCTGATCAATATCTTTTTTCAAAAAATGAAACTGACTACAAATAACTTTTTGCCTATCCCAAAACACTTAAGTATGCCCTTCTCAAAAGCACAGATGCCTCCACTAAGGAAATTGAAGACAAAACCAAAGCTACACCACAGGCGCCGAAAGCAGTGATGACAGAGTCTCCAACATGTGAAGGACCAGCTACCTCAGAGGGAGAGCGGGGAACGCACCAAGGTGATTGCTTTGAAAGGGACGTTTATTTGAGCGGTGGTTTGTTTAAAAGTCACATTATTTTATATCCAATTTTCTTGTTGTGTTAACTCATTCAAAAGCAGCAAAACCAGTTATAACATACCTTTCAAGGATGACTTCATCCTTGCTCCTTCACTATCGCTTAGAGAAGTCTGCGACCAGCATAGTGTTAACGAAACCCAAAGCAGGTGCCTAATTGATACGTGGTGATCAATGACTACGTATAGACTATAACACAGCCTTTTCTCCTCCACAGCTGTTTCATCACAGATTGTCCTAAGCGTGTTGGACAAGCTGAGAGTCCGGGGCCCGAGAGCCCGCCGCGCCCTGCCCCGCCGCCCTCCGCCCACACCGACCTGGAGCTGTACTTCCTGAGCACGGAGTCCAGCAGGCCGACGAGCTCCTCCGCGTTGATGAACTTCTGCGCGCTGAGCGTGTACATCTTCTCGTAGAAGTCTGCGATCTCCATCCGGGCCTGGACGAAGAAGCACAGCTGCTCCGACAGGTGCGACAGCAGCTCCTCCACGTGCGGGGCGGCGCCGCCCGGGGCCCCGCGCCCGCTCACCACCTTCTTCAGCTCGTTGTGCAGCGAAGTGTAGACGGTGCGGATGGAGTCCTTCCGGCTGAAGAAGGACTGGCTCCCTGGGAGCAAAAGACAGAGGCGCGTGGCAGGTGAGGAAGGGAAACCGGAAGTACAAGACGCCTCCCGGCGCCCAAAAGGAAAGGACGCGAAGCTGCGGGGCTCGGTGAGCTTTCAGCGGCCAGAGTCGCCGATTCTTACGAGCGGGATCTAAATATTTTGTGATTCATAACTTCACTGCGGAAGAAGTTAAAGGAACGCCTGGGACAACGCGTTAATGTAACAACGCCCCTGTGTATGACTTCTTTACCCGGGCGCCGATTCCTCAGCCCACTTCCGTGAGGATTCAGATTTATTTCAGCGGATAACGAACCTAGCAAATGACATCGACCTGGATCTAAAAAGCCCTCCTTCCCCATAAATATATTTACAACAAAAGAGAACATCCGATTATGAAACACTGCTGTTACTCCCGGGAAATGCGAAAATTTTATTTCTGCTTTGGAATTTCATTTTCCTGTGAATCTTATCTTTCAAGCCATGCCAAAAAATGGAAAAACATACACCTGCATCTCTCGTACACAAAAACACAGGCTACCAGGATCCCGGGGAAAAAAGGAAATCTTAGTACTGTTGACAAGGTGTGCAAATGACTCGGCCACTCTCGGCCTCAGTCGTTGCTGTTTTTAACATGAAACTAGTCATGAGCTGCTAGAAGACAAAATGAAGTGCCATCTGGTCTGTGACGCGCCTGGAACAAAGCACATATGCAATAATGCTAACCCCTCTCCCTTCCATTTATCACCGATAGACACCTCACCACCGAGCTTCTGAAACTCTGTGGTGACCTGGGAGCTTCAAGAGAACAGCCAGCCAGGTGACCTCAACTGTACTCACCGCCACTGTTAAACAGGGTGGTCTTGGGGAAAATTTTAACTTTCCTTCCTCAGTTACCCTTATCTGGGGAGTGGGGACACCACATAAATACAAAGACTACCTTCAAAAGCTTATCAGTGAACCTCGATCAGCAGGATGTGAAACCAGCTGAGGAAGGGGCAGACCACTCAGGCATTCTTTTAAAAGGCTCTCTTCTCAGGGCTCTCAGGAGCACAGCCTCAGTTGCTGACTGCCCTGGTTAGGGGACTGGCCTTCCTTCAAGCCGGGAAACAGGAATCAGAGACGCCAGACGTCTTTCTCTGTTCAATTTTTTTGAATTTACAAAGCATAATTATTTTGAATTCTTTCCAGAAGGCTCTATTTATGAATTCTCATTATTTCTCAAGATTTCAACAGTCCATCTCACATTATGAAATTTCAAGTAAACAAGTATATGAAAGGAGCATGCAAAACATCTAATTGTGTATTTTATTCTACAACTTCTTGCTAATAATAATTTGTAAACAACAGCTCTCAAGTTAAGTCGTTCTCCTCCATGCTAAATTCCAGTAACTAGAGGTTGAAGAAACTCTCCAGTAATGAAACAAAGGGGAGAAAAGTATGACCTTCTAAAATCTTCCACAGGCAATGAGTCAGCAAAATTGAATTACTGATCCTCCCCAAACAGGTATATTCTCTCCTCAAAGGAAGGAGAAGACTCCAAGATAAGGGCTCCCCCAAAGTTTTTCAGAACTGAGCCAAGACAGGAAAAGAAGGGTCCCTGTCGGGTCTGTCCCTTGTCTAAAGGCCCACGCTTACATCTATAATCAGAATTCACTGTTAAGTTCTCTGATAAAAACCAGTCACAACAGTGAGGTCAAAAACACTCGCTCTTTTTTGAGGAAGATTAGCCCTGAGCTAACATCTGCCACCAATACTTCTCTTTTTCCTGAGGAAGACTGGCCTTGAGCTAACATCTGTGCCCATCTCCCTCTACTTTATATGTGGGACGCCTGCCACAGCAGGGCTGGATAAGCAGTGCACAGGTCCGTGCCCGGGATCTGAACTGGTGAAACCCAGGCCACCGAAGTGGAGCCGTGAACTTAACGGCTACACGACCCAGCGGGCCCCAAAAAGACTCACTTTTTTTGAATGATGTTTTAAATATTTAAAAAAAACACATAAACTTTTTGTTTTGCTTTTTAAAGAAAACTATATAAATGTTCTAATTAGCAAAGTAGTTGAAGAACATGGGAATGTTTTAAATGGCAACACAAAAATTTTTGCCCCAAGTTTTTAAGGAAACGGAGAGTCGGCCCAATAACTGTGAAGTCATATTGTAAGCATGTTGTGTCACAAACATTCCAGTAGCAAAAAACTCTGAGATATTTGCAAAGTTAAAATTTTAAATCTAGAACCTACATTTACTGCACATGTGAGTTATGAGGTATTAAATATGCCATTTTCAGAACATTTACTCAGAAGTGACACATCACCTGGGAGCCTAAACAGTGTGCCTGGGCATGTTTCACAGTGTCAGTTGCTCCAAGGGTCAATTTCAAGGCTCAGTCCTCAGGCTCATCATGCAGCCTGGGGTCCAGGCAGAACTAATCACTTTAGATAATAAGGGCGCTTCACAAAACCCAAGTCAGAGACAGTGATGGTCTTACACATCTTCTTACACACAGGGCAGCCAGTTCTGTTTACTTAAAACCAGGCACACACAACTTAGAGTAGCAGATTTTTAAACTGGGGTCCATAAATAGGCTTTAGGAAATCCAAATGAACTCTCTCAGATTTTATGCAAAATTGTATTACACAAATTCTTAGATGAGCTAAAAAAAAATTAAGAATCACGGCACTGGGGTCAATCACCATTCTTCATGAGGTGGGGTAATCTAAAAACAATAAAACTGCCAGAAAATTATCCACCTTCAATTTTACAGCCAGAATCCTCCCCATTTTCATACATATATATATACACACATATAGTTTCTTTAAATTATAATACATGTACAAATTTTTTATAAATCATAAGGACACAAACACAATCTGACAGTTCAAAGGCAGGTATTCTGGTTTGGGCTCTGTCACCTACACACACAACTGCACATACACAATTTGCCCATCTGTAGAAAGGGTAACAGTAACACTGCAACGACAATTGTAAATTTGAGACGTGACGGTGTGAAAATGGGAGGAAAAAATACACAAGGTGAAACTATCTGACCAGTCTTTGCCAATAAGTCAACATATTAAATAACAGGTTATTATTCAAATAGCTAAGGCAGAAGCCAAGATCTCAGAAAGCCCTGTCCCTTGAGTGTTTACTGAAGGCAAGATGTACATGGTCAACTTCAGGCAACATAGGAACGGGGTGGGGGTGGGGGGTTCAAAATGTAATCTGCACTCTATTTTACATTTCTATTCTATATTGTATATATGTGTCCTTCATTCATACCTGACTCCGTGGCTCAGATAATTAAAGGGTCAAATTAGGCCAAAGTACTAAAAGGACTCTAAAAGCTCCGGGATTTGTAATATTTATTATTGGTAATTATAAGTAGTGATACTTTGTATGCATGGCCCTTGGCTTTCACATATATTATTTCCTTGTGATCTATTCATACTAATCGTTTCTACCAGTGAAAATCAGTTGACTCAGCTCTTGCATCTTATTTTTAGGGGCAAGATTTACTATGGACAATAGGAGTGTTTACCAGTTTCCCCATAAGTCCTCTCTTGCTAATGGTAGGCTTCTTTCCTGCCTTTCCTGTCTAGTATTCATTTATTTCCTCATTCATTAAATATTTATTGAGGGCCTACGAAGAGGGGGTAGGACTCCAACTGTAGCTCTCCGGGGCCTGATCCTTAAGAAGCCAAATAATAGTGTTCATTAACTCTAGCGAGGTTGTACTGCCAAGTTTTACGCCTCTGGCCGCAGTGTCACTGTTTAGATGAGCGAAGACAAGGGGTTCGCTTAACTTCTCATTTATGGCACCAACCCATGCACTGGGCAAAATGGATACACCCATCGGTTTGGGGTACAGCCCTGCAACGAGCATCCACCCGATCGGCCAATCTATCTGCAGTGGAGGCCGGTGGGCGGGGTTTGTGGAAGCAGAGGGAAGGAAGGGAACGGTGGGAGGAGACCGGGGAGTGCCGAGTTGAGCCTGCGGCTAGGAGTGACAGAGACAGGGGACCCAAGCCACTGCCGACCAGGGAATATAACCCCTTTCCTTCCTCTTCCAGGGGCACGGGGGGCGGGGCGGAGGTACCTAGTTTCTGCCCCAGGTAGGTGAGGCTGTGATAGACCTTCTCGGCCGCGGCCAGGTGGGCCAAGGCCGCCAGCAGCGACAGCCAGCTGCCCCCCGCGCTCTTGTTGGCCTCTCGTTCCTTCTCCACATTGTCCTTGGCCTTGTCGTAGGAGAAGATACCCAGGTGAGAGAAGAACGTCTCCAGCACCGCCTGTTCCACCGGGACCGGGGCGGCCAGCGGGATAGACTCCCCCATGCGAGCTGCGCTCCAGCTCCACCCACGTGGCTCTCCTCTCCCTCGCACTTCCGGGTTCTCAGGGAACGTGCGCACCAGCGTGCGTGCGTGCGCGTGACCGCCGTAAGCGGCGGGCTCGTGGGCGCGCTGCCGCCTGGACCGCGCCTGGGCCTCAGAGAGGCTGCGGGTGAGGGTCGGGGCGCAGGGAGGTGGCGCTCCGCAGCTCCTGAGCAACTTCGGCGTTTTGGTTCCCGCGGCTCCCACTATTCGGACCCTCAGGGCAAACACGAGGCGGCCGACTCGCTGCTCCCTGGAACTGACCGCGTTCTGAGGTGAGCTGGGCGGCCCCTCCCTGTCAGGCTGCGTCAGTGCTGATGACGTCACGTGTGCATGACGTTAGTGGTTTCAGGCCGGAGCCCCGGGCCGTGAGGGGCGGGCGAGAAGGTGAGCCCGGTGCCTGGATCTGTGCTCACTCTCGCAACAAAGGGTCAGTCCTCATAGCTTTTAAACCAACGCAAGGAAGTGGTGTCTAGAGTAGAAGCCAGATATAGTGAAGGGTTTTATCTTCTCTCCGTGTCTAGTTTTCACCCAGGCACACCTGTGGGTTCCTTCTCACCTGTGTCCCCGTCTCGTCATCTCAGGTTCGTGCTCACAAACAACCTCCAAGCAGAGCTTCTCTTCAGCTTGCCCATACGACCTAAACTACATTAGGCTTCCTTAAAAAGTTCCCCCAATGAAGGATAAATTAATGTAGCTTCTGTTAAAGGATCTGAATTGATGTACTTTGTCCTTCAGATTGATTACAAATTCCATAATATTTAAGAAGCTCCATAAACTCAGCTCACAGGGGTGTCCACTACTCTGGAACACTGCTCACTACTCGCTGTTAGTTTTTCCCTTTCTTCTTCCTTGTACGTGCTTATTTTATTCTGCTTGGTCACGCTGTATTTAATCATGCGTATTTACATGTCTCTTTCCCCGGCAGAGTGGTGAACTCCCTAAGGCGGAATCTAGGATTCATTCACCTTTACCATCTTTTCATAATGGATAGCACAATGATGTTTGTTGAACAAATGAGGGAATTGCCAATTTCCATTTTTTCCATACTAGATCTGTTCTGCCATCACTGCCTTTTCATGCAAATCTCATAATTTTAATGAATATATGGTACACCTGTTCCCTGCTCTCAAGAATGTAACTGGATAAGATCAACCCTGTTAAGTGTGATACAAGGCAGAGTTTTACGTTATAAAGGTGGAAGAGGAGGCAGCGATCATTATCTCTTGGGAAAAGTCAGGGAGGCTTCCTGGAGGAGAAGGTAATGATTCTTGATGAGTGAGTAGAAGTCAGTAATCAAAAACAAGTGTAGTCCTAGCACCAAAACCAACAGACACTGGAAGAGGGTTATAAAGCTCATAAACATACCAAGTAATAAGAGAACTCGTTAGATCATAAAGGTGGCATCATAAATCAATGAGGAAAAGGAAAACTTATTTAATTAACAGTGAAGGAGATATGGTTATGAGAAAAAAAAAAGACCTTTACCCTGTATCCTGTGACATAAAATCATTACATGTATAAAGAACAAAACCATAAAATACTAGAAAAAATACAAGTGAAAATTTAATTGATCTAGAGATAGAGAAGATCCTTCTAATTATGAAAGAATTGGAAGACATTACAAAGGAAGAGATTGACTTGACTATTTAAAAATATCAAGAAAACACCATGCCAACCTGAAAAAAATATTTGTAACATGTCAGACAAAGGTTTAATGTGCTTAACATATCAAGATCTAGTAATCATAAAAATGCAGATTAAACTATTTTTCACCTATCAGATTAAAAGAAATTTTTTAAGTGCTGGTAAACATGTAGTGAGTCTGTTCTCATACATTGCAGATGGGAGTGTAACATGGTATGACCTTTCTGGAAGACATTTGCCAATATATGTTAAGATTAAAGGACAGTATATATACAGTGTCTAGAACAATGCCTAAGACAAAGTAGATGCTTAGTAAATATTAGTAATATGTATCATTGTTCCTATTATAGTTATTGTTATCGTTAGCATTGTCATACCTTTTAATCAGCAGACACCTAGAATAATACCTTGAACTTAATGGATATTCACTAAATGTTTGATTGGCTAATTATCCTTGTTTCATAAGAATTTTATAGGAAAAGATATAGAGTTAATGACATATCAAGCTGTTAAAACATTCAAGTTATAAAGCAAGAAGATACCTTGAATGATCATATGATTCAGCCCATAAGCAGGATACTTTCTACAGTAGAAATAAATGTTTGTTATTGATGATATGTTAGCTATCTATTGCTGCATATCAAATAATCCTAAAATTTAGTGGCTTAAAACGGTGAAAATCATGTATTATCTCACAATTTCTGTGAGTCGGGAATTCAAGAGCAGCTCAATTGGGCATTTCTGTTTCAGTCTCGTAAGGCTGCAGTCAGATGTTGTCAAGGGCCGGGGTCATCTGAAGACATGTTTGGAGCTGGAGGATCCACTTCTGGGGTGGTGGTGTCACATGTCTGCTGAGCTGGCAGCACAGGTTGTTGGCCACATGGGCTTCTCCACAGGATGGCTTGAGTGTCCTCCTTACAGCATGGCAACTGGCTTATCCTGGAGCAAGTGATCAATCTAAGAGACCACAGCAGAAGCTGCAACACCTTATATGACACAGCCTTGGAAGTCACACGTCACCTCGGCCGTACTCAGGGCCAGCTTTCATTGAATTTGGGCAGGAGACTAGTGAAGGGCGTGAATGCTGGGAGGAAGGATCGGTGGAGGGTGTCCTGGAGGCTGGCCACCACAGACAGTGACGACGTTTCCAGCGTGGAGAATTGTCTGTCTTCTTCAAAACGTCTAAGGATAGAAGCCCGTAACTGCTCCTTTAGTGATGCTGCTCAAGAAGTTGTTTCTTGATTTCAGCCATGATCTCTCCTGTTAAGTCTAGACAAATAACTCTCCTCGAGACCGTTGATTTGATATTGCTCTTTACAGGCCCTTTGAAAATATTCCTAGTGACCATGCTAGTGACAAAACCATTTTAGTGATAACCCATTTTAGGGGCAAAAAGACATTAAAAACAGGGCAAAGTGTTCATTCATTTATTTGATAAACAGTGGACTAAAATTCATGTGTAGTCAATATACACAGAAAGTGACATATACCAAAAATAATTTTACACACTAATGATTATGCCAATTAATCACTACCCAAATTTTATATTATTGGGGCTTAATTCCCTTTTGCTGATCTATTTTCTAGACCTAAACTAATATAATAATAAAACTGTCATTGATTTAGCACCTACTGTGTTCCAAGTCCTTTGCGTATCACTAATCTTCCAACAAATCTGCAAGGTGGGTGTAGCTATCACCATTTGATGATGGAAAAATTAAGTGATGTGTTCAGAGTACACACAGCCGGTAACTGGCAGGGCTGAGATGCAAACCAAGATCTGTCTCTCTTTCTTCCACAAATATGGCTGCTGTTAGTGAGTTATCCCCATACACATATGCCTCTGCCTGAGGCGTCAGAGACGTCCACATTGTTACTCAGGCATTTTCAAATTGTTTCTAGTTACCTCCCTTACTATATTCACAAAATGGTTGAAAGACATGATTTCAGCAAGAAGTCTTTTTTGGCTTACCAAGAGGAACTGGATATTTGATATGGAACAAACTCCTTGATTTTCTTTTCAGATTATTTACTGAAAAATACCATACAATTAGCCATACGTTATATAGCTCTTTAGTGCCTTACTTTCAACTAAATTACTTTCCCTGTTGTATGTAAAAAAATCTGACCAAAAAGAAGCCCCAACAACACTTTTCTTTACGCTTAATTAACTGTTCCCATTTTGTTTTTCTACATGTCTACATATAATGTGATTTTGAAATCCAGATTAGGAGATTATACAGGGTAGCAAGTTGAGGAACTAACCCATTCTTCAAGAGAGAAGGAATATTTTAGATCTATTCTAAATAACCATTGCCTAGTGTTGGTATAGAGCTACATTGTCCAATATAGGAGCCACTAGGAATATGTGGCTGTTTACATGTAAATGAAAGGAAACTGAATAAAATTTAAAAATTAGTTCTTCATTCGCACTAACCACATTTCAGATGCTCAGTAGCCACCTGTGGTTAGTGGCTACCATATTGGGTGGCACAGATACCGAAGTTTTCATCATCACAAAAAGTTCTATTGGACAGTGCTGAAAAAAACAATATCATAAGAAAGAATTTCACAGATAAAACAAAATAAGCCAAAATGAAGAGCAAGTTCTGTTATTATTTTAGTCCTATTTCATGCTTCTTGGAAATATCCACATTTATGTTTTCTCTTTAATATGTTGTTTATATGTATGTGTATATATATATTTCTAAGTACAAAATTATACCTAAATTTATTGAGTGCTTAAATTCCAGGAATTGTGCTCAGTGCTTCACATGAATTAACTCATTTAATCCTTAGGACAATGCTATGTTTGTTGTGGAGAATATTTATTTTAAAAAAGAGAGAGATAAGCCAACCTTAATCCCCGACCCGGAGATAATCACTGTTGACATTTCTAGTGGTTGCTGTGGTGTGCTGCCCAGATCCCAAGATACAGCTGCCAGGGATGTTGAATTGCTCTCCAAAATTGCCTCCTGTGAAGGAAATGGCCTCCCCCTTGGTTATAGCCAATCACTGGTCAGTTGTGGAGGTACACAAGCCACAGGCCCTCAATGCGGACGATCTGGGACATCCAGCTTTGGAAGCTCCTACGGGACCCGTTAAAGCCTCTGTGGCACCTGCCCCACTGTTCATCTGCTCCCTCCGCCTGGTCCCGTCTCCCTTACAGGTGCTGCTCCTCCGAGCTCTCCCCAGTAAACCACCCACGTGCCGGTCTCTGCCTCTGTCTATTTCCTGGAAAAACCAACCGAAGTCAACATGTTCAGACTCTAAGATCCAGTTTTTTGTCTTTTACATTTATCTATTTAAATTTTTTAAATATATCTACACTTATTTCACCCCAATGAATTTGATCTTTTCTTATCTATTGTTTTATGTTAATTTCTAGTTGATAACACTTTATGAATAATTTTGCATGCAGCTAATATTTTTCTATACCATAATTTTTAACAGCCACCTGGGATTCATATGGCACATCACACTCAGTCAATCTTATATTTTTGGATATTTTGGTGTTTCCTGGGTTTTGCTGTAGCAGACCCTAAAATTCGGCAGACCAGCACCCATTCCCAACTTCCCTCTCACTCGCCTGCCTCTGGGATGGGAAAATGAAATATTTCCCTGTATT